ACAATGAATATAAAACATTAATATGAACATTTATAAACATTAATATATTATTTATAATAATTAATTTACAATACAAACGTTTATGTACAAAAATAATGTATTTACAAACTAAAAATAAAAGGTAAAATACCGGTAAGCTAATTATAAAGGAAACGTCGGTATGACAGCGTCTTTACATGCATTTTGACTGCTTTCAGCACCCGTACCGTAAGTACACAATTACACGCGCAGAACAAAAAAAAGTGCGGCTGGCTTGACCGCAGTGAAGGAGAGTCAGCGGCCAGAAGAAGCAGTGCAATGTGGCCAAATTACTGACCTGTGCAGGTCAGTTTCATCTGTAAATACACTACTGTAGTTTTGTCTTTATTAACCTAGTTGAGTATTAAAAAAACTTTAGGAGTCAGCTGTCCACGTTAGTCCTTAAGATATCAGCATAATAAAACACTCAGCAAAATATTATCTAATTATCGCTATCAACAAAATCCCAGAAAATATTGAGATCAATATCACACACCCCTAATATATTTATAACGTTTTGTTTAGAAAAAAAATGTAAATATGAGAAGTGCCCTTTTTTGAGCCCCTGCCCCTCAAAATGTCTGTGCACGTCCCATGTACATTAACATTGTCACATACATTACCATGCCAATCCCTCCGAGAGTTGTTGTGACAGAAATATATATTTTTTCTTTAAATATTTTTGTATAGCCTATTGTTATTCCCTATTTACTTATTCTAACAACTAAAAATCAAGTCAGGAGTCTTGGTGTGATTCTGGAGACAGAGCTTAGTTTCAGTAGTCATGTCAAAGCAGTAACTAAATCAGCATACTATCATCTCAAAAACATTGCAAGAATTAGAGGTTTTGTTTCCAGTCAAGACTTGGAGAAACTTGTTCATGCCTTTATCACCAGCAGGGTGGACTATTGTAATGGTCTCCTCACCGGCCTTCACAAGAAGACCATTAGACAGCTGCAGCTCATCCAGAACACTGCTGCCAGAATTCTGACTAGAACCAGAAAATCTGAGCATATCACACCAGTCCTCAGCTCCTTACACTGGCTTCCAGTTATATTTAGGATTGATTTTAAAGTACTTTTACTCGTTTATAAATCACCCAATGGCCTAGGACCTAAATACATTGCAGATATGCTCACTGAATATAAATCTAACAG